AAAACCCTCCTAACCCTACTAGGAAAAGGTTTCTTTGACTTTGGGGCCGAAGCATAACCTAAAAATCTTCTATTTGGGCTTAGGCCTCTTGGCGGCGACTAGTTGGCGGTTAGAACCATTGTTGTTTTTCCTCCATGGGCTGACCTCCGTGTCCCATGGAAAACCTCTCCTAACGATTTGTTCGCGATCTGTATGGGTCTCCATGAGCGGCGGTTGGACCCGATGTTGGGCCGTCGCTGGTTCTTGCTTATGCTTGGCTTGAGTATCCCTCTATTGGACTTCTCTTGGGCTCTACTTGTGGTTACTAATGGAATTCTCCATCATTGGACCTCATCTTTTATCATGGGTAGGTTGGTGGGTCAATCTGTGCACCCCTACTAGCAACACCAAACTTATAGCCTCCATAGGTGTATTAAGACCACTGTAGAAATATGATGTTTGTGATCTTGGGTTCCCAATACCCACTCCTGTGGGAAGCAAATGAATATGTGATTCGATTGGAGAAAAATCAAATTGAGAAGGGAAGCAAGACATGAGAAGGAAAGAATAAACAGGAGGATGGAAACAAAGAAAAAGAGCCGAGGAGCTTATTCTTAAAGAAGAAGAATCAGTCAACAATGAAGATGGAGAATTTAGAGGATATGAATGAGTTTTGGAAGGTAGTAATAAAGAGGTTTGAGGCTATAAAATTGAGAAACTTTGACGAGAAGACGAAGACAATGAAACGAGGGTAGGAAGAGAAGATTGGGCGGCGTCCGTCTCAATAACACTCAAGGTTACATCAAGACTGTGAGCAGGAGAAGGATATGAGGAATTATGAGAATCACAGAGAGAAGAAAGGTTGAGGCACAAAATTATCCATAGAACATAAAGAAGAATAAATTTGGGACTTCGATGAACCTATTCACCACTGGCACAACCATGACAAGCTCACTCCAAATCAAAACAGGTCGATGATAAGACCAATCCTCAAACCATATATCAACCCTTCCCCCCCAAATTGACTATGTCAGCCTTGACCTTATCGTGATTATAGATTCCATACTCCAAAAACAACCCCTCATATTTTCTAATACATTCTCTAGGGTTCTCACCGTTGAAGGAAGGAAATCCTAAAGACAACTGAGAATTGGAATACCCTTGGGTTGTGTTGATTTGAGGTTTAACATTGACTTGTTATGGGACACCACTCCTTGGCGGAAGGCATATTGGCATACCCCCCAACCCCACACTTCATCGAAAAGGTGGTGGGTAGATACCTTGAGAAAGGCTATGACCATTCAACGGCTTCCCCATGTCAGTAACAATGACTACAAGTCTCGTTTGACCCAGCTTTGTCAAACGAAATCGGACTTCGTTAAAGCCGCAAATTGAGAACTAATTGTTATCCAACAACTATCATCTCTATCTCCACGGCAGAGATATGATCTCCGAGCTCCTGAAGTCGCAATTTCATCACTCTTGCTCGATTGGTAACAAAAACCAGACGTTCCTCCATTTGCACCATTCGAATTGTATTTGCCATGGGTGTCGACAAATGACTCCGATACTACCTTTTAACTCATGTGCTTGAATTGGTTCTCTTCTCTTTGAATTCAATTATCAAGGAGGAAGATTGGTAGGGAAATGGAGAAATTACAGGACAATAGAGAAGAAGAACAAAGAAAGAAGAAGAATAGAGAATTTTAAAAGTGTTGTATTTTTATTTGTTACCCATTTTAATGACAATACAAGTCCTTTTGTTGTGCATGGTCAATTACAAAAGACCACTCGAACTCTAGTATTTTACCACCTCATCCCATCTGTTACAGAATTACTGACCCACTATTGGGCTATAGGAAATTCTTTATGTTTATTTCACGCTAGCTTCATTTTAATTTTGTCTCGCTATATTCATAATTTTTATTACCAAAAAAAACTATTTATATGTAATTTTGAATATCTCAGGGGCCTAAGGGCCCCAAACACTATTGTAACTCCTCCACTGAGTCAACGACATATAAACATGACCACGCAACACTCAATTACCTCTCTCAACACAATTCAATAACTATTGCTTTTTATTTTTGAATAATTCAATGAACTGCTAGTTTGGACTTGGTCCATTGATTTCTTTGGCTGTTGTATAACAACATAATTAATTGACTCTATATTTAATTATTTGCACATAATGATCTTCATCACATTAACCTTTTTGTTTTAATAGATTCAAGCTCCTAATCTTCTTACAAGCCTTATATATAATTTCTTATCTTGTACAGCCCATCTGATTAGTACCCATTGTGTGATTAACTGGAAAAAAGTAAAAGTGACATCTTTTCAAGGTTGTCAACCCGGGGGTCGACCCGGACCCGGTCAAGCTAGTGGGTCAAGGGTTAATGGGTCACCCGTTTTAGCCTTCTTTAGCTCGAGAATATGAAAAGAGTTATTATATTGTACTTATCTAAAACATCAAACAACACAATTCAACTTCTTCCTAACATCTAAAACATCAAACAAATGGAACCAAATTCATCTAGAACATCTAAAACAAAAACATCACAATTCTCGTTCGTTTCCATTTATTGGAACCAAGTCCCAAAACCCAACAACCTTTACCAAATGATTTGAACTACAGACAGAGGGAGGAACCGTCGATCGACAAGGAGAAGGGTGGAAGGCCGAGATGCCAACTGGAGATGAAAGGCCGAGCTTGAGCTGTCGACTTTCCAAGCAGGGGCAACCGAGCTCGAGGAAGCCGAAATGTAGGACGCCAGACAGAGACAGAGGCGGTCGAGCTCGAGGCAGGGGAGACCGAGCGCTGGAAACAGAGGGAGATGGCAGCCGAGCTGTGTAGAAGAATCTCTCCGCCAGCGACCTGGAGCGCGCCACCGACAAACCTTGGCCTACTGGCGATGGCGATCGAGCGACTGCGGGAGCGGGAGACAGTTGGGGGCTGCGGCAAACCTAAAGTGGAGCAGGATCGAGAACAAGTAGGGTTTTCATTTTCCAAACCCCTGTTCAGCTTCTCCCAGCATAAACGGTGCCGCATAAGACAAAAATGGTGCTCAGGAGGAGCGACCCGCTGTGACGGGCTAACCGGTCGGGTTTACCCGGTTTGACCGGGTACGAGCTAACTGTAAAAAGGGTTAATATGACTCGTTTTTTAGGACGGGTCCATGCCAACCCGGGTCAACCCGCGGGTTGACAACCTTACATCTTTTTTATATAGAAGCTTCTTGACCAACAAGTCGTTGTTGTCTACTTTGAAAGGTGTGGAAGTGAGTATAAATAGATGATAAACTTTTCTACCTCCTTCATTATATAGTCAAGAAATCAGCAGTGAGAGTTTAGCATAGAAGGTTTTGGTACTTAGGTGCATTTTCCATTTGATGAACAAGAAAGAAGAGGTAAGCACATGACATTCTCACTAATGACCGACAACTTAATATTGGATCACTCACAAAACACTAATGATTCATGTATTTATGATTAGATGTATGTGACATTGCGATGCATCACTCTGATACTAGATTATATATTTTCACTATTTCAATTTCATTGAGAACAATGAAGCTTATCAAAGCTCGAACGAGAAAATGTTTGTCATTTATTTTAAAAATGAAAGAAAGTAGCTACATTGTGCACATATTTGTTTACCTTATTTTCTTTCTTAAAAGACACTCTTTTAAAATGATGTAATAATTAAAGAAATATAATTAAGAGTCAAAGAGTGAAAGGGACAAACTTCAAGTACCAATCATGCAAGAAGGAAAGAAATTACCTAACCAAATTTCTAAAAATGGAAGATGTCGACCTCTCGTTCAAGTATTTGTCTCCCTTCTTTGTAATTTATGTCTTCCCAAAGCAAGTACATCAATACAATTGTGTCTTACAGGCTCATAAATTTCACTCAAAAGACGTTCAAATGCTTTATGAATTGTACTGTACTCTATTCTTCCATTATTTAGTATATTTCTTCTCCAAATTTCGTCAAATTCATTTTCAATGACCTACAACGCACTAAATCAACAAATCAAACATAGAACTAGAAAAAAATATAGACATATTGCCAAAAGACAAAACAAAAGTTTTCTAAGAGAAAGTAGTTTGTGCTGAACACGTGACTCCTGGATATTGTGGCTACTTCTGGTTTGAATCATGGAGACAACGAAAAGAAAAAAAATTGTAGTTTTATCTAATAATTTTAATGCTTCCCAACGTCCATAAGGCATGGATTGCTCTTCTTTATGATCCTTCAACAATAAGTGCAGTGCAAGTAATCCCTCTTTCTGGAGTAAATGTCAAACCAATGAACTTCATCTCCAATCAGTTGCAGTAAAGCAAAGTGGTTATAATGATGTTCGGTTGAAAGCTCCTTTTGATGTCGTCATGTGTTAAAAGAATAAAAACCCTAGTATCATTGTCTCTGGACTTACAATGAAGTTGCGGTTTCTCCCCTCTTCCAACTCATTCCTCACCACCATAGTCGTTCTAGCATACTTTGGATCCCATGGCTCGTCACCTCGATGAAAGAAGTTGTTTGTGTTAACAATAAGACAAAAACAAATGTGATGCATTTTTGCCCCTCATTTTTTTGTTTCTTTAATTGCTTGATGAAATTTAGAAGCTTTGAATTTATAATATCATTATTATATCTACGTATGTAGGAATATATAACTACAAGCGTTATTTATGGTAACAAAAAACTCATTCAAATAATCGTAATAAACTTCGGAACGCAAAAATAGTTTTGAGGTGCAAAAAATAGAGAAGAATTTTAGAATCAAGTTATCCTATAACTAACTAACCAAACTGAAACTACCGAAATTCATGCACATGGACTCTTATATATATAACCTACATATACATTGTATAAACAATAGTTGAATATAATGAGTTCAAACATGGGGAGGAGGAGAGCAATTCTTATATTTAAGGTTATGTTCCTAGTGTGTATCGTAATCATGAATGACATCGTACAAGCTGATAGCACAGATGGCTTCTTTCCATCAAAGAAAATGGTGATGATCGGCAATGCGCTTGGGGGTAGTGTTCAGCTGAAGGCGCATTGTAGGTCGAGGGACGACGACCTTGGGGTTAGGGTGTTAGGACCTGGACAAGAATTCCATTTTAAGTTCTGGACAAGCTTTTTTTCAACAACCGTATTTTATTGTTCCTTTGAATGGCCAGGTAGTGGTGGACTTCATTGGTATGATGTCTATGATGATGACAGGGATTTCTGGGGTGGCAAGAATTACAGATGGGTTATCAAACCCTTCGCAATTTGTAAGTTTAATGTGCCAACTAAGGAGTATGATAGGTGTATGACTTGGAAGGAGAAGCATATGTGATACTCTACTCAAACAGACGGAGCGTGAGAAGAATGAGGGAGAAAGTAAAACAATAAACTAGAAAAGATCACATTGTTCTTATATTTTGTTTGGTAATAAGTTGTATTACATTTTAGACATAAATGTTAACGATTTTGGTTCAAATTATTTTTTCATTTAGTTGGGTTTCAAGTTTATGGATCATACACAAATGCCACTATGTAAATGACACAATGGTGAAGTGTAAACAGTCATAAGAATATGATGAAGCAATCAAAATAAATTCACCCACAAAAGATAACAACCATATCAAGTTAGTGCCATGAAGCCTAATAAATGTTAGTGAGTAGGTAGAACTAATTAAATTTTTTGAGTTAATGATATTGAAACTCATCCTCTCACAAATAGAAACATGTATGAGTTCTTAATAGAATCTTACACCAAGGAGCATAATTACTCTAACATAATTTGCCATTCAGGGACTCAGAGATTAATAATGTCAGGACATGCACAAAGGTTTATTCATGTAACACATGCAAGAACTAAACATCAGTAATCCTCAGAAGAATCAACGCGATACTTTGCAAAATTTACGATCATTTGTTCCAAACTGTTCATCTTACTATAATTTTTTGATGATCCATACCGATAAAGATAGCACACAACAAAAAGAATCACGTATTTAGCTTCTAACTAGGTATCCTTGCATATAATAACATAACACTCAAAGCCTCTAATGCCTATCAAGCAAGCAAAGAAACATACAATATTGAGGCAAAAGTACATCATATTTGTTGAAGTCCTAGTGTTAAACATGAAGTTCTTTCATCTGTGAGAGGAGTCGATGGGAAATGAGGTGGAAGGACAACGAGCTTTGAGACTTCATTGCAAGTTCATAGGCAATGTATTGGGGTTTTTTTCCCTAAAAGAAGAGGCAATGTATTGGTGGTGGTAACACATGAAGGTGTCAAATGGAACAAAAATTATCATGAATTTTGGAATTGAACCATTCAAGTACTTGAGAGCTTTTTTCCTTTACGACAAAAGTTTAAGAACTTGTAATCGAACCATTCCACGTATTGTATGTAGTTTGCAATGGCAATAGTACATATTTGGGCTAATACCACTAGGAAATTCGAACTATCAACAATGTGCCATTTGTGTCTCGAAGTATTCAATATGACATTTGTGTCCTAAACTATTGTTCCGTTAGTGTTGATCCCTGTCTCGGTCGTGACGATCCCACCATCTCTAAATCCATCTCCCCTCAAGTACCATTCATCTCCGTTGGCAAGGGTTTGAGATTCTCGAAACCTCAGAGTTTTTATACCACGGTTTGCAGGTCGCCAAACAGTCGTTGTCAAAGTGAAGGAAATTTGAAACCTCTACTTTTCTTAATTTCTTCACTGTCATTGGATTAAGGGAGAACTGAAGTTCTTTGAGTCGCCAAACTATTATCGCATATATGCACGGAGATCAAAGCCCTAGTGGTCTCGATTTTTTCACTACCACCAACGCGTCTTTGAGATCCTCTCCAGGCTTCTTCTTCAAGATGAGTCCCAATTGGATGAATTCGAAGGTTGGGATACAACACTTTTTTAGTATTCTTCATTCCTCTGCGTAACATCCTTGGAAACTCTTTTATCATATTCTTCGGTATTCCTTGAAATTATAGTATAGGATATCGTGTTGCTTTGCAGGTTTGTTCATTTAAACGAAACTTTAATTTATTATTCTATCCTATATCATTGAACCAACGTTTATGGTGTTGGTATTTCTGACTTTTTGTATATGAAAAAATAGTAGATTAGTTTTGGTATTTTTCTGCACTTATCTCAATCTTATACATGACTGTGATGACTAACCAATGTGAACACCCTTTATTTGATGCAAATTATCCTAGTTAACAATTAAAAAAAGAATAAATAATATCCTAATAGTTAACGCTCATACCAAACAATGGAACTCAAACTAGTTACCAAAGACCTAGAAAACAAATCCACAATGCCCACAACCCTCCCCCTCTCTTTACCTTCCATTGCTAATGCCAAGGAAGACAGAAATCATAAACATGTGTCCCAGCGTCATAAAAACATGGACCGCTCTTCTTTATGATCCATTGACAATAAGTGCAGCGCAAGATGTCCCTTTTATGAATGTAGACGTCAAACCAATGAACCCCCTCTCCCCAATCAACACTGCAGTAAAACAGAGTGGTTCTAAAGATGTTCGGTCGAAATCTCCATTTGATGGCTTCGTGTGTTACCAACACAAAGGCTCCAATATCGTCGTCTCTGGACTTACAATGAAGTGTCAATTTCCACCCTCCCTCCACCTCATTTTTCACCACCACGGTCGTTTTAGGATACCATGGAACCCACGAGGTCCTCGCCTCGATGAAAGAAGTTGTTTGTGTTAACAATAGGATGACAACAAATATGATGCAATTTTGCCTCGACATTTTTTTCTTTACTGCTTGATGAATACTAGACTTCGAATTTATATTATGACTATGATATCTATAAATGTGAGGTAGATAACTACAAACATTATTTATGGTAATACAAAACCCATTCAAATAACCATAAATTTCGGAGAACACAAAATAGTATTTAGGTGCAATAAAATAGAGAAGAATTTCATACTCAAGTTATCCCTTCACTAACTAAATGCACTGCCGAAATTCATGCACATGGACATATATATTCTACCAACACATTGCGCGTTATCTACGATACTTTCATCTAATGAATTCAAACATGAGAAGGAGAAGAGCAATTTTGATTAGGGGTGGAGAAATTAAAAAGTGCTGTGTTCTTATTTGTTACCCATTTTAATGGCAATACAAGTCCTTTTATTGCGCATGGTCAATTACAAAAGACCTCTCGAACTCTAGTATTTTACCACCTCATCCCATCCGTTGCAAAATTACTGACCCACTATTGGGCTATAGGCAATTCTTTATGTTTATTTCACGCTAGCTTCATTTTAATTTTGTCTCACTATATTCATAATTTTTAGTACCACAAAACGATTTATATGTAATTTTGAATATCTCAGGTGCCTAGGGGCCCCAAAAACTATTGTAACTCCGCCATTGAGTCAACGACATATAAACATGACCACACAACACTCAATTACCTCTGTCAACACAATTTGATAATTATTGCTTTTTTATTTTTGAATAATTCAATGAACTGCCAGTTTGGACTTGGTCCATTGTTTTGTTTGGCTGCTATATAACAACATAATTAATTGCCTCTATATTTAATTATTTGCACATAATGATCTTCATCACATTAACCTTTTTGTTTTAATAGATTTAAGCTCCTAATCTTCTTACAAGTTCTATATATAATTTCTTATCTTGTAGAGCACATCTCATTAGTACCCATTGTGTGGTCAACTGAAAAGAAGTAAAAGTTACATATCTTTTTTATATAGAAACTTCTTGACCAACAAGTCACTGTTGTCTACTTTGAAAGGTGTGGAAGTGAGTATAAATAGATGATAAATCTTTTCTACCTCCTTCATTCTATTGTCAAGAATTCAGCAGTGAGAGTTTAGCATAGAAGGTTTTGGTACTTAGGTGCATTCTCTATTTGATGAACAAGAAAGAAGAGGTAAGCACATGACATTCTCACTAATGACCGACAACTTAATATTGGATCACTCACAAAACACTAATGATTCATGTATTTATTATTAGATGTACGTGACATTGCAATGCATCACTCTGATATTAGATTATATATTTTCACTATTTCAATTTCATTGAGAACAATGAAGCTTATCAAAGCTCTAACGAGAAAATGTTTGTCATTTATTTAAAAAAGGAAAGAAAGTAGCTACATTGTGCACACATTTGTTTACCTTATTTTCTTTCTTAAAGACACTCTTTTAAAATTATGTAAAAATTAAAGAAATATAATTAAGAGTTAAAGAGTGAAAAGAAAAAACTTCGAGTACCAATCATGCAAAAAGGAAAGAAATTACCTAACCAAATTCCTAAAAATGGAAGATGTCGACCTCTCGTTTAAGTATTTGTCTCCCTTCTTTGTAATTTATGTCTTTCCCAAACAAGCACATCAATACAGTTGTGTCTTACAGGCTCATAAATTTCACTCCAAAAAGGTTCAAATGCTTTATGAATTGTCACGTACTCTATTCTTCCATTATTTAGTATATTTCTTGTCCAAATTTTGTCAAATTCATTTTTAATGAGCTGCAACGCACTAAATCAACAAAGCAAACATAGAACTGGAAAAATATAGACATATTGCCAAAAGACAAAACAAAAGTTTTCTAAAAGGAAATAGTTTGTGTTGAACACGTGACTCCTGGATATTGTGGCTACTTCTGGTTTGAATTATGGAGACAACAAAAAGAAGAAAATTCTTATCTTTATCTAATTATTTTACTTCTTCCCAACGTCCATAAGGCATGGATTGCTCTTCTTTATAATCCATCAACAATAAGTGCAATGCAAGTAATCCCTCTTTGAGGAGTAAATGTCAAACCAATTAACTTCACATCCCCAATCAATTGCAGTAAAACAAAGTGGTTATAATGATGTTCGGTCGAAAGCTCATTTTGATGTCGTCATGTGTTAAAAGCATAAAAACGCCAATATTGTTGTCTCTGAATGTACAATGAAGTGGCGGTTTCTGCCCTCTTCCAACTCATTCCTCACCACCATAGTCATTCTAGCATACTTTGGATTCCATGGCTCATCACCTCGATTAAAGAAGTTGTTTGTGTTAATAATAAGACAGAAAAAATATGATGTATTTTCGCCCCTCATTTTTTGTTTCTTTAATTGCTTGATGAAATTTAGAAGCTTTGAATTTAGATTATCATTATTATATCTACGTATGTGGGGATATATAACTACTAGCGTTATTTATGGTAACAAAAAACTCATTCGAATAATCGTAATAAACTTCAGAACACAAAACAGTGTTGAGGTACAAAAAATAGAGAAGAATTTTAGAATCAAGTTATCCTATAACTAACTAAACTAAAACTGCCGTAATTTATGCACATGGACTCTTTATATATATGGTAACGACTGGTGTACGTCAGGCGTATAGCATACAACAGGTGATCTAACCGTTAGATGTACTTAGATGAGCTCCGGCCGATCTCAACGGTCAATTTTTGTTTTCATTAAATCAAACTTCGGGTTGGGGTTTGGAAAATCGGTGTCTGGGATTTATCCATTTGAGGTTGGGGTATAATATCTTACACTCATTTTAATTCATGGTCTAGATAGAGATATCTCACTAGTAGTACATGACGTATAGTATACGCCTGACGTACGCCTGGGTACCGTAGAACTCCTATATATGGTGCCTTCTACGGTACCCAGGGTGAAATCCAGGGTACCGCATACCTTGAGTATGAAAATGCTATCTAGACCTCGAATTAGCAGGATTTTTGGGCATGATACTATACCCTAAGCCTTAATGAGTGAACCCTAGGTCCTAATTATCTAAATCATAAACTAAAAACCCTAAGATGATGTATTGATTTTTTTGCCTATATTTGGAACAATCATAACTGTCTATTATTGTTTCTAATTAAATTGATCTCGGGGTATAAGATTTAGAGAATTAAGACCTAGATGTTGATCTTTAAGGGTTAGAGTATAGTATCATGTCCGAAAGATTAGTCAATTAAGTACTCATATGATGCATTTTTTCCCATAATTTTTTTGTTTCTTTAATTGCTTGATAAAATCTAGAAGCTTTGAATTTATATTACTACTAGACAGGCGACCGCACTTCGCTGCGGTGCAACCGTGCAAGTGTACCCACTAGCCAGTGATGAATTGATTTGGAAGTCCGTGGTTTCAATTGGTATTTGCAAGTCATTTGTATTTTTTAACCAAATATCTTTCAAGTTAAAAACATGATAAATAACTACAATTCCTCTGACTTTTTTACATGGTTACTTGTTATGCCAAATACATGAAATTCTCATAGCAAAGCTATTTAGCAATTTCGAAAGACAGTGTACAACAACATAACACCACTCACTGTTGCTTCAACATTCTGAATAAAACTGAAGAAAAGAAGGGTACTTTACTACCCTAATCCACGAATGGAACTGAAGAAATGAAGAAGGATGTTTTACTCTTCATATATTAGAGGTTAGGGTAAGTATCATTTCCAAAACTTTTGTTAATTCACGGTGTAAATAGCAAAATTCGATGAGCATATGATAAGGTAGCATGAACCATTGAAAATAGTAAACATATTGTTCGGTCGTTATCATGGTTCCTTTTTGCAATAGTATAGGTATTATAGACATTTCTTTAGTCGCTAACTCTATAAATTACTAAAAACGATAATATCACTTTAATATAAAAAAAATTAACCAATAATTTTGACTTTTGATTCATCAAAATATATCAAAATATATAATTGATGTAAACATTGATGTATGTTATAGGTTTAGTCAATTCTTTAGTTCCTAATTCTCTGAATCCGATTCATAAGATTTCTTTAATACAAAATATTAACTAATGATTTTGAATGATTTAAGTATATCTAATAAATTTGAACACTTATATAAAACGTTAGTCATATATTAAAAAAACCAAGATCTTTTTTTTTTTTTGCAATAATCAAGATGTCATAGACAATTTTTAAATGCAAACCCTATTATTGGCCTCGACTTGTTGTTATTTATTTGGACAAAGCATTTTCAAATTGAAACCAGCCTCGCACGCATCAAACTAAAATGAGAATAAACACTTCCATATAAAAAATCTTAGGGACCGCAGGCCAAAAAAAATTAGGCAACAAAAACCAGACTTCTACTTTATATATAGTAGTAATTATATCTATGTATGTGGGAATATATAACTACAAACGTTATTTATGGTAACACAAAACTCATTCAAATAGTCGTAATAATCTTCGGAACACAAATTAGTGTTGAGGTGCAAAAAAAAAAAAATAGAGAAGAATTTTAGAATCAAGTTATCCAATAACTAACTAACCAAACTAGAACTGCCGAAATTCATGGCCATGGACTCTTATATATATAACCTACGTATACATTGTATCAGCAATACTTTAATCTAATGAGTTCAAGCATGGGGAGGGGGAGAGCAATTCTTATATTTAAGGCTATGTTCCTAGCATGTATTGTAATCATGAATGATGTCGTAAAAGCTGATAGTAGAGATGGTATCTTTCCGACGAAGAAAATGGTGATGATTGGCAATGCGCTTGGGGGTAATGTGCAGCTGAAGGCGCATTGTAAGTCGAGGGACGACGACCTTGGGGTTAGGGTGTTAGGACCTGGACAAGAATTCCATTTTAAGTTCTGGACAAGCATGCTTTTCACAACCGTATTTTACTGTTCCTTTGAGTGGCTAGGCAGTGGTGGACTTCATTGGTATGATGTCTATGATGATAACAGGGATTTCTAGGGTTGCAAGAATTGCAGATGGGTTATCAAACCCTTCGCAATTTGTAAGTTTAATGTGCCAACTAAGGAATATGATAGGTGTATGACTTGGAAGGAGCATGTTATGTGATACTCTACTCAAATAGATTGAGCGCAAAAAGAATGAGGGAGAAATTAAAAACAATAAACTAGAGAAGATCACAATGTTCTTATATTTTGTTTAGGTTCCAAGTTTATTGTTCAATTTATTTTTTCAATTAGTTGGGTTCCAAGTTTATGATGTAGCAATCAAAATAAATTTACCTACAAAAGATAACAACCATATCAAATTAGTGCCATGAAGCCTAACAATATTAGAGAATAGGTAGAACTAATTAAATATTTTAAGTTAATGATATTGGAACTCATCCTCTCACAAATTAGAAAGATGTATGGGTTTTGAATAGAATCTTACGCCAAGGAGCACAATTACTTAACATAATTTGCTATTTAGGGACACAAAGATCAATGACTATAATGTCAGCACATACACAAAGGTTTATTCATGTAACACATGCAAGAACTAAAAATCAGTGCGCAATTCATGCCTTTCAGTTTTTATGATCATAATTTTTTTCTTGATTTCAATTTCAAATTGTTCTCTGGACTTTTTATCAATATGAATCCTCACAAGAATCAACACGATACTTTGCAAATTTAGGATCATTTTGTTCCAAATGATTCATCTTACTATATTTTTTTATCGATCGCCAATAAAGATAGCACACAACAAAAAGAATCACGTATTTAGCTTCTAACTAGTTATTCTTGTGTATAATAACATAACGCCCAAAGCCTCTAATGCCTATCAATCAAGCAAAGAAATGGACAATATTGAGGCAAAAGTGCATCATATTTGTTGTAGTCCTAGTGTTAAACACGAGCAACTTCTCTCATATGGGCAAGGAGTCAATGGGAAATGAGGTGGAAAGACGACGGACTTTGAGACTTCATTGCAGGTTCAGAAGCAATGCATTGAGTTTTTTATCCCTGAAAGGAGACAATGTATGAAGGTGTCAAATGGAAACAAAAATTATCGTGAATTTTGGAATTGAACCATTCCAAGTTCTCGGGAGGGTTTTTCCCTTTCAAGAAAGTTTAAGAACTTGTAATCGAACCATTCCATGTATTGTGTGTAGCTTGCAATGACAATAGTAAATTATTTTGTATTAATCTATTCAAAAATTATGTTTCACAACCATTATTGACTTACAACATACAAATGACTGAATGAGTTGTTCACTGGTCTCTTGGTAACAGAAAACCATGCAAAATATAAAAGAATTTTAGACTTAGGTTATCCCATAGCTAACTAACCCCCTTAAAAATGCCGAAATTCATGGACATGTATACGGTTGGATTAGGGTTTTAATGATGTGGCGGGCTGGGTTTAGTATTTTTCGGGTTAAATCCGACTGATTAGTCGATTCTGTTTGCCACATCAGCACTTAACTGACTTTATTAATGGAGATGGACAGATAATGAGCAAACATGATATCTTTTACTAAACTCAATTACCATTATTGATATTAATTTTTTCCCCAGTGACTAAACAGGGCACATTTTAATAAAACCAGTGACCAAACTTGGAATTTATCTGTTTTTTAATAAGAAATGAGTTTTTTTAATAGGATTCGATGCACCTACACGCTACCTTGTTAGCCGCGATTTGCAGGAAGTTAGACCAAGACTGGCTGGTTAGCATCACTCATATATATCGCGAAGGGAATTAAGTCACGAACTGACTCTCGTCTATCCCTACGACACATATGAGCTTGCTAACTTGCTGGGGGTCTGGCTCCGTTTCTTAGAGATGATGTTATGAGGATTACATTTGAGAGATTGATTGTTGATTGCTCAATCCCCCCTCCTTCCTCTTCCTCCACCCTCTATAACCTTCTTCCTTCTTCTTTCTTGACCGTTCAGTCTCCCCTTTCGCATATATATATATATATATATATATATGGTGATGACTGGTGTACATCAGGCGTATACTATACGTCAGGTGATCTAGCCGTTAGATGTACTTGGATGAGCTCCGACTTATCTCAACCATCAATTTTTGTTTTTCATTAAATCACACTTCGGGTTGGGGTTTAGAAAATCGGTGCCTGGGGTTTATCCATTAGAGGTTAGGGTATAGTATCATACCCCAAACTCGATTTAATTCATGGTCTAGTTAGAGATATCTTACTAGTAGTACCTGACGTATAGTATACGCCTGACGTACACCAGTCTGACCCATATATATATATATATATATATATTAAAGGAAAAATACATTTAAAATAAATTTCATTTCTGTCAATAAATTTCAAAATTACTATCTTATATGTACATATACTTAGAAGAGTTATAAAACGGTTCAAATAACTCAAACCCGGACCAAATAATTAAACCTCAATTCCTTTACTTACCGACTCGACTTAAATCGACTTATCTTATTGTTAACCTCAATTCCTCCCAGGCCACGGCCCCTCCTACCCGCCTAAAGTCCGTTTTCCAGTTCGACGACGTCTCCCCGTAAACATCGTCGTCGTCGTCTATCATCTCTCCCTCCATATATAACCGCAGAAAACACACCTTTTTTCCCTCTTTTTCTGTTAAACTTTTCTAAATCAGCGAAAAACCAACCCGTGTTACTTGCAATCGAAAATTCCAGATTGCGAACCAGAGGACCCCTCTCGCATTTACTGCTCTGATCAGATCTGCCCCCACTCCATTTCTCATTGATTGAAATTATATTTACGCGAAGATGTCAACCGACAGCGACGACGAGGACGAGCTCCTTCAGATGGCGCTGAAGGAGCAATCCCACCGGGATCTCAATTACCAGCGCCCGTCGTCGTCCAATCAACGGAAGCCGGTCTCGAATTTCGTCCAGGCTCCCAAAACCGCCGGTTCCGCGAGGCCGGCGGCCCCGACTCATCGCCACCAGAAGAGCAGGGGTTCCACCCTGGACGACGACGACGACTCCGAAGTCGAAATGCTAAGCATATCGAGCGGTGACGAGGAAGTGAGCAAGGACCGGCCGCCGGCCAAAGGGAGAGCCGGCGGTGGTGGAGCGGGAAGGGGAGGAAAAGACGACGACGGGTGGGATGGCGGGGAGCCTGATTGCTGGAAGCGAGTGGACGAGGCCGAGGTAATGTGTATCTCTAGCTCGCTTTCCTGGATGCCTGTGGTTTCTTTTCTGTTTGCGGACTGCTAAGACTTCTACTGGCAATGGAGCGTTTTCTGTGAGAATTTAGAGTGTGAATTGGAATCAAAGCCTGTGTGTTATTGTCTAGTTTGTCGAGAGTTACGTGCTACTGGAGCATGATCATTCATCATTTAGCGTCCTTCTGCTACGGGGAGATTGATTGGTGAGCTAGGGAAGATTGAGCAAGGGCTCTACTTGGTGATGGAATTGAGGATTCTGTGAGGGAATCATGGATTAGCATTTCTGTGATAGTGGGCGGGAGACTGTTGTGTTTGGTTCTAGTAAAATTCCAGGGATGTTCATGTATTCTACTGTTGTTGGAACCTTTTAGCTTTGGTGCTGGGAGTTCAGTGTCCCTTGCATTTCTTGAAGTATTGCTGTGGATGAAATGCTCATTTGACTAACTAAGCAGTAGGCTAGTCAATGTGTGATTGTCAGAGGAACTAATTATCAAATACCGCATGTCAAGATCATCGAGACTTTGCGAAATGAATCCTTTACAGATATTACAAGATGGCCTTTGAATACTGTTGCTTCACTAACTTCGGCACTAAGAGAGTAGAGGTTTAAACGTTACAAGCTCTGGCTGGTCAATGTGTGTCATTTCATCCTAGATGTATAGCTATAGCTATCATTCTTACAATATTTGGTGTTGGGAACTTCTATGAAAGTGGTGCATCGAAAGAATTGGTATGCATATCCAGCCTCATAGCAACTAAGACATTAGTGCTGGAAGAGTTGCTGACTGCCAACCAAATGAACTCCGTCTAAACAGTTACAACTATGTAGTTTCGCTAAATGTATTTTACCATAGTGTTAGACTCTTGCTGTATTTATTTCAAATTGTGGACAACCTCTTGACCTGTCCAAGTACCATCACATGCTATAGCGAGTACCGAGTAATTTGCTTCTTAACCTGGTTTAGTCCAATGTGGTGGTGTGCACATAATGTTGTCCTATGTTCTTTGTCAAACATAGTTATCAAATTGTCTGTTGTGAAGTTGAGACTTGTAAGTTGGTAGATTGACGTCCTTGACCTCTGATTTTTTGGTCTTGTGGATTATTTCTTAATGCTTTTCTTAATCCCCTTCTCCACACACAAAAAATGAAGAAAGAGAAACATAATTAGGTGCTTATCCAGGGATATGTTTTCAGTTTTCTTATTTGCTCCATCTCGGCTTTTTTTGGTTTCTGGTTTTCTTCATTTCTTGGGTAATATTTGCAATTTTTTGTGTGTACCAAAAACATATACTTACTTATAAGTCCTCCCAGCTTGCACGAAGGGTTCGTGACATGCGAGAGTCGAGAACAGCACCAGTAGCTCAAAAGTTCGATCCTAAGCCCATAGCAGCAATGACTAAAAAGGGGCTCAATTCTCTATTGTCATTGCCTCGTGGAATGGAGTGTATAGACCCATTGGGGTTGGGGTACGCTTTCATTTCTCTTCCCCTTTAAGTTGTGATCTTTTGACAAACAGCTCTATTTTTTATTGAATGATTTTCTGATGTCACTTGCTTATAATGTGTCCTTTCAATTGGATCCTTCTGGTAGTTTGAACCGGGGTAATTCTTGTTATGTGTTAGGTTTAAGCTTGTTATTTGGTTCAGATTGCTTGACTATTTCTCAAGGTACTGCAGGTCTTTAATCTTTAGTTGCCGTGCTTTTGCTAACTTTGAATGATGACAGGATTATAGACAACAGAACATTAAGGTTGATCACCGATTCGTCAGTTAGCTCGCCATCAAAAGCTGATAGAGATATAGATAGTGATCTTCGAGGTACCTCTCTCTTCCTCATCCATTGATTATGTTCTGTCCTTCCTCGAATCTGCATTTTACTGAACACTCTATATTACTTTCTTTTATAATTTTTCTTATCAATTATCCAGCTGCTGCATTAGCTTCCATTTTTAGCATTCTGTAGTCTTGTCTGCTTGGCCAGATTTCGGTCTTATATATTTGTGGATAAGGAAGTGAGGTTATGCCAGACGAAATTTCAATGAAATCTGTCATACTTCTAGGCAGATGTTAGCCTCGTTTTGGAAGTAATATACAGTTTTCCTAACTTAAATTTAACTTCTTTGCACATCGAGCATTCAAGATTTCTGTTATGTGGTGATTGTTTTCACAGTTTAGTTGGCTATTTATTAAGTGATTGGAAATCTGTGTCTAGATGCGGAAAGATCTGTGAGATAAGAGGGGGAATGGCATGGCAGTCATGAAAATGTTACTAGCACGAGATGATAAAAAATATCTTTGTAGACAAAGTTTAGAGCATTGATCAAGCTTCATATTGTAATCATCAGTAGCACATCATTGGAACATTTGCTGGCCCGTCAGATCAATCTTTTTATTGATGCATTAAATGAGTTGTGACTTTAAGTAATAGGAGCCGAGATTCTAAACCTGCAGAAAATGAGTTGAACATTGTGGAAATTGTGTGATGAATGTTCTGCATCTTTAAGTTGGAGTTGGTTCTTAAAGTGTGATTAACTATTTCAAATGTGGATTACTGGTGTAACTTTGCTCAGTTGCAGGCCACAGGTTCTCCAGTCTGGATGTGCAATTGAAGCTTTTATTTTATCTTCTCCCATCTCTATAAACACTATTGAATTAGAAAACTGGCAATTGCATTTGAAGTCACAACCTCTATTCTATATTCTATATTTCTATCGTTGCTTTCCCATCTATTTTCTTGATTGAGGTTTGAGACAGCGTTAGGAATCAAGCTACCACCCTTCTTTTTATCCCATATTTCTTCTTTCCTTGTCTTAATCAATATTTAATTAATTAATACTACAGCAAAGGAAACAAAATGCATGCATAGTTTTTTTTTTTTGAATTGCATGCATGCATAGTTTTCTAAAATGCCTCTGTGTGGTATTTTATTGTTGTATATTGATGGTCTTATATTCACCCACTGTTGTGGTTACCTTATTAAGATTTTTGTGAATTAAAAAAAAAATGTGGAAGTTCTGCTGAGTTAGATTTCAAGAGTGGAATAGATTCTTATGAATTGTTATAATTAGTCTTCCAAATTATATTTTAGAATATGTAGGTTCAACTGTTTTTTCTTCTTCTTAAAAACTGCAATTCTAAATCTAATGTGTGATTTCTTTTGAAATTTCACCTAGTTTCTTGGTTAGGTTTGGAAGTTATAATCTTAAATGTGATTTCTAAAACCGTACAATTTCTAACCTACGAATTAGGGTGCTGATTTGACTCAAGTTTTTGAGCGTATATAGAATCTGGGTTTAGAGAAACGTTGGATCTAAGACCAATGACAGCGACTGGCATCTCCCGGTGGTGCATATGCTCGCATAGTCGCATTCCATGAAAATTGGGCTGTAAAAGCTGCTATTTAGTCTAGCGATTTCTTACTTTATGACATTGTTATTTTCCATGGCCACTGTTCTTTTTAACTATGAATTTTGTATAGTACCCCAATGATCTTTTCCACACGCTGAGCATCATAATGTCATTATATTTCAATTATCTGAAGTGTAAATACGAACATTTTAACCTCTTCATCTTCAGATTATGGTGTTTATTTGTATTAATTCTATCCTTTTCTACATATTGACAGAGAAATTGTTATATTTGTCTGATAAGTTTGATGCCAAGCTGTTCCTGTCACGGATACATCAACGCACCAGTGCAGCAGACTTGGAGGCTGGTGCTCTTGCTTTGAAGACTGATCTAAAAGGGCGGACCCAGCAGAGGAAACAACTGGTGAAAAACAATTTTGATTGTTTTGTCTCTTGCAAAACTACAATTGATGGTATGATGTAGAAGTAGACTTGTTTCGGTGTTATTATTAATTTTTGTAATGTAAAATGAGCTGTGTATTTCATTTGAAACTGAGTTTCTTTTGTTCATAAGTTATTTTCTTTTATTGTTTAATATGCTACTCAGTTCTCCTATATGCTATTTCAGCTTGCTGATGTGTGCATCAATGAATGATTTTATAGATATCGAATCAAAACTAAGACGGATAGAAGAAGACCCTGAAGGTTCTGGGACTAAACATCTGTACGATTGCATGCAAGGAGTCAATTCACTGGCAGTTCGTGCATTTGAACCTTTATTTGAAAGACAGGTCCTTAGATTTATTATGTCTTTATTCCTTTTAACTAATTTTATATTCTTAATTTCATCTCAATCATGCCTCATGGATCACTCAACTTGTTTTTTTATCAATGAAGGCCCAAGCAGAGAAGATCAGGTCTGTCCAAGGAATGCTCCAGAGATTCAGAACACTATTTAACCTGCCTAGCATGATTCGCAGCAGCCTTAGCAAGGGTGAATATGATTTGGCAGTTAGAGAGTATAAGAAGGCGAAATCGGTTGCCCTCCCCTCTCATGTGTGTAAACTTTCTTCTTTATTTTCTTTCTACGTATTGTTGTTAAAGCAAATTTAACTATCCAGATGGACGTGTCAGGAAAGATTCTCTTAATTATGGTCCTTGTTTTTTCTTTGCACGTGTATTTGTGGGTGGGCAATTGCTGTGATTTCCGAGGTCTTAGTTCACAGTCATCCAAAGATTTTATTTTATTGGTGTAGGATGGTCCAGTTGTTGATTAATCCCAGAACATCCAATGATATAAGATAAATTTCGTGGACTGCAGAATTCACATCAATACTGTGATCTTCTCTATTGATACCATAACCTTAATATCTCATTTGGTCTCTACGCCATTCAAGCCCATGTAGCCACCTCCAGTTTCTGGCTTCCAAAAGTGTTATTATCTCTTACCATGTACTAGTCATGGTTGTTGTGTGTTGTGGTGCATTTCATTCACTTGTTTGCTGAGGAAGCTGAGATTTTTGTCGTGATGTTGGAGTGGTACAATGACTGGTAATTCAATGACTTCCTTTGTGTTACTTGGAGATATTTTTCGAGCTTCACTAGTTTGCGTTAGACAGAATGAAGCTAGTGCTGGGCGAGTCAAATGCTAGCATACAATTAAAACTTCAAATCCTGATATATATTTATAGTAATCTGTTCACTGAATTTTACTACCAACACTAAAATTTTGACATGCATCCTTGTAACTTGAATTTCAGGTGAAGATATTGAAACGTGTTCTTGAAGAAGTTGAAAAAGTGATGCATGAGTTCAAGGGAACACTTTACAAGTCCATGGAGGATCCACAGATAGAGTTAACAAATGTAAGATTACGGTTTTGATTTTCTACTATTTGTGGCAAGTCAGGGGAATTTGATGTAGAAGAATGAGAAACTCGTAAAATTCAATACCTCATCTAACAATACTGTACCGTGCACTAGTTATACCTGCTACATTAATTAAAATGTTTTTTCTTTATTCTTTGTTTACACATGCGATTAGATAGAAGTAAAGTGAAACCTAGTCTGCATTTTGCTTGCAAAATCTTCATTGAGCTTAACTTGTTCTTTTCTCTCTTTGGCTACTTAAATCATATGAATTTCATGATTCGGTTTTGGGCATCTGATTAGAAGCTTCATTTAACTTCAAAAGATGGTAACAAATGACAAGACGATTTGTTCGGAATTACTCCTCATTCGTGTATTTTTTTCCCCATTCGTTTTAGCTCGAGAACACAGTGAGGCTGCTGGTGGAGCTAGAACCTGAGTCTGATCCCGTGTGGCATTACCTATGTGTACAGGTTAGTAAAAACCAGAACAATTTTTCATGCTTTCGATCTGCTAAGCTGTATTATTTTAATATTTTAACCATGTGGACTTCTATGCATGATATTAGGGTTCTATGTTTCATTTCAGTTACTAGTGATGCCAACGTCCTCTTTTATGTAATAAGTAGGTCAGTTGAAAACATGTGAGACATTAACTGCTGCTGCAGTAGTGGAATAGCGACAACTTCCCCTAATGACACTGTCTGACCTGGATCTAAAATATATCTTCATCTGCACGTGAGCAATCCAATAAGAGTGTGTCCATTTTGCAGAATAACAGAATTCGAGGTTTGCTTGAGAAATGCTCATTGGATCATGAAGCAAGGATGGATACATTGTACAATGAGATGAAACGAAGAGCTCTGTTGGATGCGAAGTGGAAACAAATTCAAAATGAAACTGTCAGTGCAACCTTTATGAATTTATATACCTGTTGATGGAAGTTGATACTGAAGAAAAGTGTGACTTTTTCCTTGTGGTTGTCAGTCAGATGTAGATCCAGTAGATCTGCAGTCGCTGGTTTTGCTTGGTGAAGAAGTTGATTCTCTGAGGGGAAAGTATATCCGCAGGTTAACGGCTGTAATCATCCATCACATACCAGCTTTCTGGAAAATAGCACTTTCTGTTTTCAGTGGGAAATTTGCGAAGGTATTCTCACCATAAACATGTATTATTTCATGACATTAACATGGAATTCTTTGCCACTTTGAAGTTAAAGAACAACACAAATCATTTAAAGATCCGTAGAACTTGATCATTTACCACTGCGTGCTAACAACACAAACTATATTTCGCTGATAGTTTGCTATGGACAGATTAGTTAATTACCAATTTATGGAATTATCTGAAATATTTTGGTTTGAAATGTCGGCTAAATAAAGTTAGTCCATTGTTTATTGAATGGAAAACCATATGCTGCTTCTTCAGTAGAATTTCAGTTCAGTATCAGTGTGTAAGCAATTTTTGTGAAGGGTTACTTAGTCATTTGTTGATCACTGATCTTTGGTTTCAGTCTTCCCAAGTTTCTGCTGAGTCGAATCTCAGTGCATCAAATAAGGCTGATGAAAAAGCTTTAGATGTTAGGTGCTCGACTCATTCTCTTGATGAGGTTGCTGGAATGATACGCAGTACTCTATCTGCATATGAAGCGAAGGTGATCTGCTCGTGCTTTTTACTGTATGCAATTCATATGCTTTTTTCTGCCAACATTTATTAGAAGCATTGTTTCCTCTTCGCCAAAATGAAGAAGGATAGGTATGATTACAGTAGGTAGTTCTATAATTGCTAGTTGCTGGTGCAATATTTATTTCGTGATTGAGATTTTCTGAGTTTTGGTAGAACTTGAATAATTTCTCTTGACGTCATTGTGTACTATTAGTATGCCTTATTGGCTGCTTCTATCTCTGGGTTGCTCTCTTTCTGGGTCCAAACAGAGCCAAAGTCGTCCGATTTAGACTCAGCAAGCTCATGCTAAACATACTGCAAGTTAGAATGAAGATCAGATTTCTGCACCATTGAACATTAATTCCTTTATGCTGCTGCGGACTGTCATTTTTCAATTAAACAAAGTAAGGAAAGAAATAATCAACAGGCTTTTCTGCACATGGCAGAGTACTGTGGGGCTTGTCCAACTGTATAGTTATTGAGTTTCAACACGTTTATTTCTATAAATGTTATAAATGTTTGTATAGAGAACTTTAGGAGTCGTTATAATGTTTACTAACGAACACATTGATTGTACAGTATCTTGGTAACTTCTCCTTTTCTTTTTCTCAGATGATAACATCTTTGAAGTTGCAGCATTTTGGCTTCTTTTTTTCGTTCTGCCGTTAGGCAAATATCTTCTTCTAAATTATTTTACTTTTGAAACAGGTTCATGGCGCATTTCGTGACCTTGAGGAATCAAATATTCTCTGTTCTTACATGAGCGATGCCATAAAAGAAATATCTAAAGCCTGCAAAGCTTTTGAAGTGAAAGAATCTGCTCCGCCTACCGCTGGTCTGTATTTCATGCTAAAATAACATGTATCCTTAGTCCTTACTTGTGACGGTTTGCCATTCTGTTGCAGCACTGGCCCTCAAAACTCTTCAGGCTGAGATTACAAAGATATACATACTACGGCTTTGCACCTGGATGCGGGCAACTACTGCAGAGATGTCAAAAGATGAAACATGGACTACTGTATCTATCCTTGAAAGGAATAAATCGCCTTACACAATCTCTTTCCTTCCTCTTGCATTTCGCTCAGCTGTAGCATCAGCAATGGATCAGATCAATCTGTAAGTCCCTTGATATGCAGGTACCAGATTAGGGCACTGGGTTAATTTCGAAACTGGATGAATATCATGGTTGGGAGTCTCAGTTTACTGTCCTTTTAGTTAGTGTGTAGCTTGTTTCACCTGTATCCGTTTCTATCATCTGTGAGCTTTTGCTCGAATCAATTTTCTTTCACCAGAGTCTATATCTGTATCAAGGTTATGCTACTTTCGTGGGGGGTTACAACCTGTGAGAACCAACTACCAGTGGAGAAGGGGTCTTCATTACTGTTATGCTTATCCATTATATCTCAAATTTTCTACTTTTGCAGGTTAGTTCAATCTTTGAAGGGCGAGGCCGGGAAGTCGGAGGATATATTTGCACAAGTTCAGGAGATTCAATTATCCATTAGACTTGCCTTCTTCAACTGCTTTCTGGACTTTGCAGGTGCAGTATATGATATATCGTCTGTACAGATTTGAGGTATCTATAACATCCAGCCTGATAACTGGTACTCTGCTCATGCATCTTTTTCAGGTCATCTGGAACATATTGGAACTGAGCTATTACAGAATAAATCAAACTTACAGAATGGATATTCTCATGACGTGGAAGAGAAATTATCATCCAATTCCACAGGAGCTGTTAATGCCCATCAAAAGTTGCTGATTGTGTTGAGTAATATTGGATACTGCAAAGACGAACTGTCACACGAGCTTTTCAAGAAGTACAAGTGTGTATGGTTGCAATCTAGGTATACTAGACTCAAGTCCGTGACTATCACTTTTGAGGGCTAGGCGTAAATCTGCATAAAAGGAAACCATCATATTTCCACTGTTTGTGGTCATAAAACTGTCCTTGATAATTTATCTCTTCCATGCTATCCTACAAATTATTCATCATAGTCTGAACATCTTCCAAAAAAATAAATGAATTGAAATTGGTTGCCTAACTGAACTAGCTCAGTGATGCATAAGGAGCACATATTTGCTTCCAAGCGCCCAGCAGTGTGGCTGCTGTGCTGTTATTTCAATTTCCACTTGATTATGGCTGATCTTATTGGTTATCATTTTGCTTCAATCGTCTATTCAGGTTTGAGCATCACTCGCTACTTTTTCGTTTATTCTTGAAGTCTGGTTGCCATTACTCTACCTGCCTTATTTCACATTGCCCTTTTCTTTACAATTAGATTGGTTGCTATCTCTGTGCCTATGGTGACCGCCTGTAATCTTCTGTTTACCACAGAGAAAGTGATGAAGATGACATTGACATACAGGATCTCGTGACGTCTTTCTCTGGTCTTGAAGAGAAGGTCCTTGAACATTATACTTTTGCAAAGGTATACTACAGGTTATTCATTTGCTTTTTAGCTCAACCATACTGCACAATGCGCACACATGGAGCTTGAAGGCTTGTTCGTAAAGTCACGAGGTCACCCGTGTTGGCGGGGAACAAAAGATGGTCCAGTGACTGGTGTGTGCTGAACAGCGCTGGAAATTAGATAAACCGAGCTTCTTGCATGGAAAAACTTCATCGTTTCAACTGTTCATGGGGCTTATTACTTTGTTTGGGACATAATAGTATTCCTTCTCCTTGTAGATTTTTTATTACTTTTACAAGCAGTAGCATCACTGTTAATTGGTAAAAACTTCCAAAGGTCAAGCTTAAACTTAAAATGACGATGAAAATCAAGTTGTTATCTACAAGTCAGATATCAAAGTAGGATGCTTGGCTCTACTTTTTTATTTCGTTGTCTAAACTTCTCCATATTTTTATTGCAGGCAAATTTGATAAGGACATCAGCTATGAACTATTTGCTGAACACTGGGATCCAATGGGGAGCAGCTCCTGCTGTCAAAGTGAGCACTTGATGGCGTTCTTGTCCGTTGTTTTCAGTAAGTTGTTGCTATCGACTCCTTTGAGGATATTGGTAATATATGGCCGCCACCATCCTGCAGGGCGTTCGTGATGCAGCTGTGGAATTGTTGCACACTCTGGTCTCGGTGCATGCTGAGGTAAGTTTGATTCTGACAGATGACAAATATATAACATCAATTTTAAACGAAAATAAGTTTTGGTGCTCTCGTCCATTTCAGAGCAGTGGTTAAGATGGCTTGATGTTAATGAATTTATAGGATTAATCATCCTTGTGGGTTCTAATGTGTATAGAGACCTGGCATTTGTTTATTTTGGTGCATTTGCAGGTGTTTGCTGGTGCAAAGCCCCTCTTGGACAGGACACTTGGCATTCTCGTGGAGGGTCTGATTGATACATTTCTTAGCCTTTTTCACGAAAATGAAGATGGTGAATTTAGGTCGCTAGATGCGAATGGTTTTTGTCAGATGATGATTGAGGTTAGCTCTCTTAACTTTCACCAAGCCCACAGTTTAGCTGTTGTTGGTAGGTTGTAGAGTCTTGTTCTGAAAATCCATGGGACGATTAACTGATTAACTGAACTTGCAAGCCTATATCTAAATGCTGTACGGGATCCTGATCGATTTTTCCTGGCATGTTTTGCAGCTCGAATATTTTGAGACCGTATTGAACCCATATTTCACACCTGCTGCAAGAGAGTCGCTGAAGTCCTTGCAAGGAGTGCTGTTGGAGAAAGCCACCGAGAATGTCTCTGAAGTTGCCGAGAATCCAGGCCACCAACGTCGGTCAACTCGTGGGAGCGAGGATGCAGCTTCGGACGACAGGCAGCAGGGCGGAATGACTGTATCTCCAGATGACCTGATCGTAAGAAAGAAAAATTCAATTCATTTTCGGTTTCTGTGTAGCCTTTCACCTGTTGTTTCCCTCCTTTTGTCTCCTGTATGGAGAATACTATAGTCCTCACTGTTGTGGTGTAATGTCGTCGACTTCAGGCTCTTGCTCAGCAATGCAGCGCAGAGTTGCTGCAAGACGAGCTGGAGAGAACTCGCATCAACACAGCATGCTTCATCGAGTCAGTTCCCTTGGACACGATGCCAGATAAAGACGCATTTGACTTGAGAGGGTCAGAGGATTCTCCGACCCAATACTACCAAGAGTCGGCCCCCAAGCCGTTAGTTCCAGCTCCTCCTGGATACTCAGTTCCAGCTCCTCCTGGATACTCCTCCAGAGGCAAGCGCCGATGATGATCTTGGAGACGACGCCTTGCTACTCGTTGTGCGCGGAGTTTTGTTTCTTGTTTTTGTGCATTGTGTAGCTTGTTGCATGTTAGCTCTGTAGATCCAGTAGAGCAAAGAAGAACGAAATATTTGGTGTGGTCCTTTTAGGCCTTTCTATTCTGTTTTATTTTCTTAGAAAAGCTTTTTTTTTTTTACTTTCAATACAAATGAGTGTAGGAAAAAGAAAGAAAGAAAGAAAGAGGACGCAGCTGAAAATTGGTTATTGGATTGGATTGTATCACATTCTTGCCTTCTTTGTTACCCCATAATGAGCTCCCGGTGTTTCATAGTTGTTCTCAGTAGGGATGCCGATTTCGACAGTTCTCGACGTGTTACCGCCTATAGGTACTTGCGTCTTTTGATCTCGTAAGACAAAGACCGAAATGGACTAGATCAAACACCATAAGGAAATCGACAATTAAGAAGATACAGATATGCGCATCAAGTCACCTCGCGCAATCTTTTGCCACATCGAGCAAGTTCCATCGCTATATTCTCAGCAAATCAAATTACTATGTGAGCGACAAGACGATAACTTCCCATCGAATTCTCAATTCCGATGCTTAAAAGTAAATTACAACGTGATCGAAACATGACGTAAGTTCCATAATATGCTTGCCTGACAATCATCAATCGATCACCAACCAAGACGTTGAGCAAGCACACGAGAAACATTACATGCAGTTGCAGATCCCCAAGTTGTGGAGAACCCAATACGACGCCGTCTCCTCCAACAAACAGGAAAAAAGGTTACACAGTCTGTAATAAGAGTGGGAAAAGGACCAAAGTCATCAGAACCCAGAAATGGCAAAGCGTAAAGAGACCACCGCTCTCAAGTCTCCTCCCTTCTTCTTCACAACACACATATACAGTACCAGAAACAGAAACGAAATTATCCATTTCCATTTCCCCATTATTTTCCCTTCTTCTGGTACATTGCTTCCCGCGTTTTCCATGCTCCTCCCCACTTCTGAGTAATCCCCTTCTATGGAGAATGCGTGCAAGCCAATACAATATACAAACCCTCTTCTTCCTATTTCTTTTCCTGTATTTCCATGGCTCTCATCGCTTTCAATTCTCTTCAAGCTTCGTCTTCCTCCCCACACCTCTAGTTTCCCCCCACCCCCCACCACCCTCCCCTGTCTCCGCATTTATTGAAATCGATCGATTCCAGATCTCTGAATCTCCATTAGTGGGTTTGGTTCCCTTTTCATGGTCAGCCTTCGAGCCTTCCGAATCTGGTTTTCCTTTTCTCCAGGGACCCATCTCAATCCCCACACACACACATAGGTATATATAGTTCCGAGCTGTAAACTGATCCCTTCCCACCATCAATCAATTCTCTAACAGCAATGGGGAACCAAGCTAGCAAGAAGCCCAACAACCTCTCCACGGAGCTGAGCTCGTACGAGGCCGCCTGCGCCGCCGACGCCGACCTCCGCTCCTTCGACACCACGCTGCAGGCGCGGACCAGCCACGTGATCAACGCGCTCGCCGTCGGCGTCGAGGTCAGGGCCCTGTCGTTCGATTCGCTCCGGGAAGTGACGGAGTGCCTGCTGGAGATGAACCAGGAGGTCGTCAAGGTGATACTCGATTGCAAGAGGGATATATGGAAGAGCCAGGAGCTGTTCGAGCTCGTGGAGGAGTACTTCGACAACAGCCTCCACACTTTGGATTTCTGCGCCGCCCTCGAGAAGTCGCTGAAGCGAGCTAGGGATAACCAGCTTCTCCTCCTCGTCGCGCTCCAGCAGTTCGACGAAGAATCGTCGTCGTCGTCGAAATCGGAATCGGAATCGGGAGAATCGGGATCCAAGGCTTCGTACAAGAGGACGCTGGAGGAGCTGAGGAATTTCAAGGAAGCAGGGGATCCTTTCACGGAGGAGTTCTATACTCGGTTTCAGAACGTCCACAAGCAGCAGATCCAGATGCTGGAGAAGCTGCAGAGCAAGAAGCGGAAGCTCGACAAGAAATTGAAGTCGATCCACTCGTGGAGGAAGCTGTCCAGCATCATCTTCGTCGCCAGCTTCGCGGCGGTGCTGATCTGCTCCGTCGTGGCGGCGGCGATGGCGGCTCCTCCCGTGGCCGCCGCGCTGGCGGCGGCCACGTCGATCCCGCTGGGGTCGATGGGGAAGTGGATCGACTCGCTGTGGCGGAACTACGAGAGCGCGGTGAAGGGGCAGAAGGAGCTCGTCGGGACAATGCAGGTCGGGAGCTACGTCGCGATCAAGGATCTGGAGACGATCCGCGTGATGGTGGACCGGCTGGAGGTGGAGATGGCGGCGGTGGAGAAGGCGGCGGAGTTCGCGACGCAGGAGGACGGCGGCGACGCGGCGGTGAAGATTGGGATCGAGGAGATCAGGAAGAAGCTCGGCGGGTTCATGAGGAATGTGGAGGAGTTGGGGGTTCAGGCTGACGTGTGCAGCCGGGATATTCGGCGGGCGAGGACCGTTGTCCTTCAGCGGATCATTAAGCAACCGAATTAAATTGATTAATCAGGAGATTAACGGGTTGATTATGGCAACTCTGTAGCTTTGTTAATAGTTTGTTATTATAGACCTGGTTGGGTGTTTCTTTGATTCTTTGACGACTTGACTTATTGTAGTAAGATGGTTTGAATTTAATCATTGATTATTGGGGGGAAAACACGTTTCTGCCTCTTTTTCTGTTAGAACTTTTCCAGATCAGAGAAAAACAAACAAAAAAACCGTGTTACTTGCAATTGAAAACACACGTTTCTGCCTCTTTTACTGCTCTTGAATTTCTCGAATAAGCGCATCCATCCTATAGAGGAAGTTTCATCTTCATATTCTCTGCAAATCAAGTTACTATATGCGCAACGAGACGATAAACAATGAATAACAGGAGGACAAGAATGAACATCAAGCTCTGAGGCAAACCCACTTTCATCAAGTTCTCAAAATCCAGTGCTTAAAAGTAATTACAAGGTGATCGAAACATGACATCAGTTCGATAATACGCTGCCTGATAATCATCGGTTGATCACCAAGACGTTGAGCAAGTACACGAGAAACATTACAGTAAACGAGACCGCTTTTCTAAAAGTTGGAAGTCCCCAACTGCAATTTGCAAATTCGTTCATCTCCTGCAGATCATCAAGTTGTCCTCAATGGTGGAGAGACCAATATGACGCCGTCTCCTCTAACGAACAGAAAAGGTATATTGCGCTTCGTGTGCTGTAATACGAGGGGGAAAAGGATAAGTCAGAGCCTAGAAATGGCAAGCGTAAGTGCAGATGCTATGCCTGACTGTCAATCAGTAGCTATCTATCTATATTCGAGTACAGTTTATCATTCCTTAAAGAGTATTAGACTGATTTATCACAGTTTTCCAGTACGTCGCAGCAAAGGAATTGCAGGCTAGTCCTAGTCGTCAAACATGTTTATTCCACCCACAGATTTGCTACATAGGTGCTGACCTAGATCTAGCTTTTTACACAATTATCATGCACTTTAGACAACATTGACGCCACTTGTGATGCTTCATGATAATGCTCTGTGTTCAAATCCAGATATCAAACTAAAAAATTTGCCAATCACCAGAGTAGTTAAAACAAAGAAGATATGCAACGTTACCCTGAGAATCTGTTCGTAAGTCTCGTCATCGATCTCTACTGTGGTCACAACTTCTTCAACGTCCCCAAGAATCATATTCAAATGCTGGTCATATGCCTGAAAACCCAGAAAGTAGTGCTTAATTTAATGTGGACCAATTGATAAATCGCAGTTCCTAAAGTAATGAACTCCATGATCTAGTGGGGGCAATTTATCAAGGAGAATCACTACACTGGGTCATGAAGTAACCATCGCCAAAATAAACCATGAATCCTCGGAACATTTGCAGTAAGTAAAAAGCAATTCTTAGTCTGATTTGTCGCATCATTCGACTTTTTTCCTCTAAGCCGCTCCTATGAACTACATACAAGTTTGGATCTTGTAAAAATTATCGCATTAAGATGAGTACCCTGGACATAGGATATAGAAGAAACATGATCAATACTACAGCTAAAGAGTCATCATCTCAAACTATCATAAACCCTAGAACAGCATCCAGTAAACTATCCCACTCCTCTCATGTCTCTTCCAGAATCTTAGCACCCTAGTTAACCAATACACGTCTCTTTTTACTCAATTACGAAGCAATTCCAGAAACAGCAGGCTCTGTTCATGAAACCTATCCAAAGTATATCTAGAACTAGAACCCAATTAAACCAGAGCAGGAAAATTCGCCGAAACCCTAGACAGAACGATCTAGCAGGCGAGATAACTAAAAAGTCAATATTCGCGAACACTATAAGAAATCAGAGCACAGCCAGGGAGAGAAGAGAGAAGACACACAAAAGTGTGAACGGAGATCGAATGCGGCTTTCGCCGGAGAGTGGCGGGGGGTACGCAAGCAACATCATGAGAAAGTAAAGAGGAGAGCACATACGTGAAGCTTGCCGCGGAGTTCCCGGTCAGAACGGAGCTTGACGTAGATGCGTTCGTCGAGACTAAGTCTGATGAGATCCAATGGCTCCTTCACTGCGCTCTCCTCTTCGGTGGACATGCTTCCTTTCTCTTCTTCAATTCCTTCCGGCGCTGTTTCTTCTAGGGCTGGCTTGTGTGACTGCGTTGGAGATACTGTGAAGAAGAGTGCGAGCCTCTCTTTGGTTTGGTGGAAGTAAAATTTGAACGGTAAGTAAGACGGTGGACGGTGGTCGCTCTGAAATTCTTGTTCCTGATTATAAATTTTATTGAAATTATTTTATTTGTCCTTAATTTATATTTTGCCATTCAAAATAATCAAAAACCATAAATTTTAATCCAAACACATAAGAGAAAGATCTAAAAATTCTTTCTATCTCAAATAAATGCAAAAATAACTCACACACAAACACCATTTAATTTAATTATTTACTCCTTCGAACTTCAGCGACCTCATTGAAGATCGATCTCAATTAGAGTGATAATCATCATCATCTTATAAAGAAAAAACTAAATCTTAAAAAATAGAAAATTGGTCGTGGCGGATTGAAAACGTGATTAAAACCATGGTGAGTAGGGATGTCAATTTCAATCTCACTCATTTTGCCCGGCCTGTTTAAATTATTTTGGGGTGGGACGAATATGGGTACTATCCTCGACCTGACATGTCCCTAACTTGAGCCATTCTCAACTAATGTTTGCTTAAATTACATGTAACTTTACTCAAATTATTTAGGATTTTACTTTTTTTATCCAAAAGCTATAATGATGTAAATAGGTGAGAACCACAAATTCTCAAATAACTTAACCACATCATAATATAGTTTGTTCCATGGGTTTTTAATGAAAAGATGAATATTTTTGGTGTTTTTTTTTAAGTTACACATATATAGGTAGACCTTGCAAGGACCCGCATCCCGTAATAAATTACCCGACGTATTATGAGTGAATATTAGTATCGAGATACTCGCCCCAACCTTGCCATCCTATGAGACGGGTTTAACACTCCGCCACACCATACTGGAAAACTGGAACGAGTACCAACTAGAGATACAAATGGGTACACTTGCAAAAAAGAAAGTCACATATGCAAGTATGTAACCCTCTTATTGGCTGAAGCTACAAATGAATAGAGCTCACTGAAAGAAGAAGTAACATACAAGAGCTTAGCATTTAGCAACCATATACATACATGAATGGACGAGACAAACAATGACACACCAATGAAGATCACAAATGTTCAAGAACTCTAGCCGCAAAATAGAAAACTTTGATATCAAATCCAATCCTATCTACAAAAAGAATCAATCATATGCATATATGCTGGAGTTCCCACATGCATCAATCATGGTGAAGGACCAAATCTTTTGACCAGAGTGGCCATGTATCTTCCCTGATGTTCAGCAAGACCAAGTTCAGTTTCACTCGGCTCTCTGCTTCCATCTCCAGAGTACACCCCTGCGCCATATGGAGAACCTCCTCTGATGCCATCCATTCTGAACATTCCAGCTCCAAATGTGTATCCAACTGGAACATAGACCATCCCATGGTGGACTAGATGAGGTATTGCTGTTAATCTGCAGTAGTTGTAGTAGGTAAACCAGCACATCAGAAACAAATGAATTCGTACCAATAGACATATCAAATCGTTTCTCGAATCTCCCTCAATAACTCTATTATGACGAATTCGTTCTCAATTTGGTACCAGATCCTTACTAAGCGAGACATTTCACGTTTCAGTTCCAATCCCGATGACCCTAGTATTAACCGTGGATTTAAGCATGGTATTTGACATCGAACGTGTAAGAAAAATGTGTTAACATTCATTGTTAGACCTTAATCAAAACCTAATATTCTCCAATCTCTAATGGCAACATTTCTGAGCAACAATGAGAGGTGTGTGAGAGAGAACTTACGCAGTGGTCTCTTGGCCTCCCCCTTGAGTCCCAGTACTAACAAAAAACCCAGCAGGTTTCCCAGCCAGCTTTTGCTCCACCCACAGCTCATGAGTACTGTCAAAGAAGGCATTCATCTGAGCAGCCATGGAACCAAACCTGGTGGGGAACCCAAACAAGAACCCATCAGCATTCACCATCTCTTCCACACACATCGACGGAACCTCATCGTTACCCTTGTGGGGAGCTCTCATTTGGTCCAAAGTCGCATTCGCCAGAGTCTCCGGAACCCTATACAACACTCCTTCAACCCCTTCAATTGAATCCACTCCTTGCTTCACTTTTCTCGCCAGTATCTCAACATGCCCGTACATTGAGTAGAAGATTATGTAAATCTTGAGCCGTCTCTTCTTGCTAACTAGTTCTCCATCATGGTTGCCGTCGCTGGTGTCTTGAACAACGGTAATGATTTGAGGACTTTGTTCTTCTTCTGCTGGTTCTTCTGGAATCAATGGAGCTGGAGAAGCTTGGGTGTTGTTGTCTGGTGGTACTCCAATGGGAGGCCTTGTCTTGCTGGGGAAACACCCGCCTCCTTTGCCCATCTCAGGGATCTCAACTGGGTATTCGTTGATCTAGAGGATTCCTGTGAAAAATGTAAAGGGTCGAGCTTTGTTTGTGAAGCAGAGCTCTGCAGGATTGAGAAATGGAAGCAGGAGATTAGGAAAATGAGAAAAGGAAGTGACTTTGGAGGAGAAATTAGAAGAGAGAAGAGACAAGGAAGTTGGCTGCTCTCAACTTTACCTTTGTCAGTGAGTGTATCATTAGCTGTTTTGTTGTTGGCTGGGTGCTGCTGGCTGTATGCATTTTTCTTCGTGCAGAAAAATGTGTATATGTTCCCACGTCTAAGGGGGCGAGTGACAGGCAGACAGGGAATCGTGCCGTTTTCTCAATAATAATGGATTCATAATCGAATGCATTAATATATTGTTATTAAAAAGTTCTCACCATATTCATTCAATGTTAGAAATTGTTCAATATTTGATTCGATGATTCACAATCTTTATGACTGTGAGCACAACAATTCGATGATGCGTATCCCTTTGAAATCTGTTAAAAATCGGTGCTCAATGGACATTATCATCGTTGGAGAATAGTCTCAGGTGGAATCTGTGATCTGTGGCCTTCAAAATCAAAGAAAATGGCATTTCGTCGCCCAGAAATTTACAAAAATGTCATCCGAAAATAAATTGACCCAAATCGGTGCTTAATGGACTTATCATCCGTGGAGAATAAGATCAATAGACTTCATTATCGGTGGAGAATAACCTCGGTCTGATTTCGTGATCTATAGCCTCCAGAATAAAAGGCAAATGACATTTTGGAAAAATCGCCCCAAATTTGTGATGGTACCCTTTTGGAATCTGCCAAAAATTGTCCGTGAACAAATCCGACCAAATTGGTGCTTAATGGACTTAATCATCGTTGAAAAATAGCCTCAGGCCGAATCCGTGAACAGTAGCCTTCAAAATCCAAAGAAAATAGTCTTTGACGCCCACAAAATTACGAAAATGTCATCCGAAAATAAATTGGCCCAAATCGGTGCTTAATGGACTTATCATCCGTTGAGAATAGGATCAATAGACTTCATTATCGGTGGAGAATAGCCTTGACATGATTCCGTGATCTGTTGCCTCCATAATCGGATGAAAATGGCATTTCGGAAAAATGGTCATAAATCTGTGATGGTACCCCTTTGGAATTTGCCAAAAATTGACCCCGAATAAATCCGCCCAAATCATTGCTTAATGGACTTATCATGGAAAAATAGCCTCCGGTCAAATCCTTGATCTGTAGCCTTCAAAATCCTAAGAAAATGGTCTTTCGTCGCCCAAAAATTTAAGAAAATGTCATCCGAAAATAAATTTGCCCAAATCGGTGCTTAATGGACTTATCATCCGTGGAGAATAAGATCAATGGACCTCATTATCGGTGGAGAATAGCCTCGGCCAGATTCCGTGATCTGTACCCTCCAGAATCGAAAGAAAATGGCATTTCGGAAAAATCGGCACAAATCTATGATGGTACCCCTTTGGAATCTGCCAAAAATTGACCCGGAATAAATCCTCTTAAATTGGTGCCTATTGGACTTAAACATCATTGAAGAATAGCCTCAGGTAGAATCCGTGATATGTAGCCTTCAAAATCCTAAGAAAATGGTCTTTCGTCTCCCAAAAAATTACAAAAAATGTCATCAGAAAATAAATTTGCCCAAATCGGAGCTTAATGGACTTCTCATCCGTGGAGAATAAGATTAATAGACTTCATTATCGGAGGAGAAATGCTTCTTCAGATTACGTGATCTGTAGCCTCGAAAATCGAAAGAAAATGGCATTTCGGAAAAAAAGCCTCAAATCTGTGATGGTACCCCTTTGGAATCTGCCAAAAATTTACCCGAAATAAATCCGCCAAAATATGTGCTTAATGGACTTAATCATCGTTGAAGAATAGCCTCAGGTCAAATCCGTGATCTGTAGCCTTCAAAATCGTAAGAAAATGGCCTTTCGTTGCCAAAAAAATTACGAAAATGCCATCCGAAAATAAATTGGCCCAAATCCGTGCTTAATGGACTTATCATCCGTGAAGAATAGGATCGATAGACTTCATTATCGGTGGAGAATAGCCTTGGCCTGATTCCGTGATCTGTAACCTCCAGAATCGAAAGAAAATGACATTTTGGAAAAATCGCCCCAAATCTGTGATGGTACCCCTTTGGAATCTGCCAAAAATTGACCCATAATAAATCCGTCCAAATTGTTGCTTAATGGACACAATCATCGTTGAAAAATAGCCTCAGGTCGAATCCGTGATATGTAGCCTTCAATATCCTAAGAAAATGTCCTTTTGTCTCCCAAAAAATTACGAAAATGCCATCTGAAAATAGACTGGCACAAATCGGTGCTTAATGGACTTATCATCCGTGGAGAATAGAATCAATAGACTTCATTATCAGTGGAGAATAGCCTCAGCCCGATTCCGTGATTTGTAACCTCCAGAATCGAAAGAAGATGAAATTTTGTAAAAATTGAACCAAATCTTTGATGGTACCCCTTTGGAATCTGTCAAAAATTGACCAAGAATAAATCAGCCCAAATTGGTTCTTAATGGACTTAATCATTGTTGACGAATAGCCTCAGGCCGAATCCATGATCTGTAGCCTTCAAAATCCTAAGAAAATGACCTTTCGCCGACCAAAAAAATTACGAAAATGCCATCTGAGAATAAATTGGCCCAAATCGGTGCTTAATGGACTTATCATCCATGGAGAATTGGGTCAATAGACATCATTATCGGCGGTGGAGAATAGCCTTGGGCTCATTCCGTGATCTGTAGCCTCCAGAATCGCAAGAAAATGACATTTTGGAAAAATCGCCCCAAATCAATGATGGTACCCCTTTGGAATCTGCCAAAAATTGACCCGGAATAAATCCGCCCAAATGGGTGCTTAATTGACTTTATCATCGTTGATGAATAGCCTCAGGTCGAATCCGTGATCTACAACCTTCAAAATCCTAAGAAAATGGCCTTTCGTTGCCCAAAAAATTACAAAATACCATCTGAAAATAAATTGACCCAAATCGCTGCTTAATAGACTTATCATCCGTGGATAATAGGATCAATAGACTTCATTATCTGTGGAGAATAGCCTTGGCCTGATTCTGTGATCTGTAGCCTCCAGAATCAAAAGAAAATGATATTTTGGAAAAATCGCCACAAATGTGTGATGGTACCCCCTTTGGAATCTGCCAAAAATTGACCCAGAATAAATCCACACATATCGATGTTAAAGTGAAACGCGCGTTTTGGATGAAATACGGGCATGCCATGTTTACGACCGTAATTCCCCTCATCAGTGTTAAGTGAAACTGGATAATGACGACCGTAATTCCCCTCATCAGTGTTAAGTGAAACGCGGGTTTTGGGTGAAATACGGGCAGACCATGTTTACAACCGTAATTCAGCCCGTATTTCGCTCAGAATCGGGTTTTTGAGGCAGATTGGAGCCAAAAGTGGGGGAATTGAGTGGATTTCTCACCATTGAAGCCAAGATTGCATCCCCAGGAGTGAAGATCGACATCCCAGAGCAGATTATCCCCATCTTTATGAGTATGACTGCTCTGATTTCTGTTTTCCTCTCTCTCTCTATGGAGTATAACCTTCTCTCACTTGGGTATGAAGAACCCTAGTTCCATGTGTTAAGAATCTTGATTGTAATGACTTGGGATTGATATACTGATTGATTTTAATCGATTGATGCATGATTCATTGAGTCAATTGAAGCTTGATCATCTTTTCTTGATTTCTGCTGCAACCTGAGATAGATAGAATCTGATTAGGTTGTTAGAGCTTCATCAATCGGTAGTGGTAGATTGATTATACGAGAGTTAATTGATTTACTGCTTTGTACTGGAATCCAATTCCAGTAGTGGAGTTCTGTGTGTATTGCCTCGGCAGTCTATCCAGGTGAAGGCTATCGCCTGCCGGTTAGTCTGCCTGAGAGGGCTTGGTTCCAAACTACTGTCGGATCTTCCGCAGTTTAATCAACAGTTAATCAAACCAGGGTAATTACAACCTTGACCTAACTAAGGAGCTAGGGGGACTCATTCCCGAGTGACTCTTCCCTTGCTTAAGAACCTCGAGCCATTTCCTGCTTTCTTACTGCTTTTGCTTAAAACCACAATCACTGGACTTAGTTTGCTGGATAATAGATAATCACGAAGTAGGAAGTAGATCTGGACCCTGGGTTGACAAATAGAGCTTGCCACTTTACTGCATTTCCGGACTGCGATTACACTTTGTCACAGTTTGTTGTTGTGTTTTAGTGTGTCAAAAATGCCATCCGAAAATAAATTGGCCCAAAATTGGTGCTTAATGGACTTATCATCCATGGAGAATATGATCAATAGACTTCATTATTGGTGGAGAATAGCCTTGGTCCTATTTCGTGATCTGTAGCCTCCAGAATCGAAAGAAAATGCCATTTCGAAAAAATCACTTGAAATCTGAGATGGTACCCCTTTGGAATCTGCCAAAAATTGACCCGGAATAAATTCGCCCAAAGCGGTGCTTAATGGACTTAATCATCATTGAAGAATAGCCTCAGGTAGAATCTGTGATCTGTAGCCTCCAAAATCCTAAGAAAATGGCCTTTTGTTGCCAAAAAATTACAAAAATACCATCCATAAATAAATTGGCCCAAATCGGTGTTTAATAGACTTATCATCCGTGGAGAATAGGATCAATAGACTTCATTATCAGTGGATAATAGCTTCGGCATGATTCCGTGATCTATAGACTCTAGAAAAGAAAGAAAATAGCATTTCGGTAAAATCGCCCATAATCTGTGATGGTACCCCTTTCCAATCTGCAAAAAAAAATATCCAGAAAAAATCCGCCCAAATAGGTGCTAAACGGACTTTATCATCATTGCAGAATAGCCTCAAATCAAATATGTGATCTGTAGCCTTACAAATGCTAAGCAAATGGCCTTTCGTTGCCCAAAAAATTACGAAAATTCCATCCGAAAATAAATGACCCAATATCGGTGCTTAATGGATTTATCATCCGTGGAGAACAGGATCAGTAGACTTCATTATCGGTGGAGAATAGCATCGGCCTAATTCTGTGATTTGTAGCCTCCAGAATCGAAAGAAAATGGCATTTCGGAAAAATCGCACCAAATCTGTGATGGTGCCCCTTTGGAATCTGCCAAAAATTGACCCGGAATAAATATGCCCAAATCGGTGCTGAATGGACTTAATCATCATTGAAGAATAGCCTTAGGTCGAATCCGTGATCTGTAACCTTCAAAATCCTAATAAAATGTCCTTTTGTCTCCCTAAAAATTACGAAAATGCCACCCGAAAATAAATTGGCTCAAAATCGGTGCATAATGGACTTATCATCAGTGGAGAATAGGATCAATAGAATTCATTATC